GCTTCCAAATTTAAAAGCTTTGCACTTTGACCGTGTTTGACACATCTTTCGATCCAGTGCTTATTTTAATGCTTTCCTCGGCTGCATCGCGCAGCATGGTTCTCCAGCTGTGCGACTGGCCGCTTTTCCAGTTACTTTGGCCAGCGCTGCGTTATCTTGTGCTCATCCTAACGTTCGTTTCCAGCTCTACTGTCACTTTGATTGAGCGGATTGTAGAGTAGATCGTCCATTCACTTTAATCCTCGTTCTTTCCACAGAACTGACTTAATCATTGTGAGCTTATCGACATCTAAATACAATAATTTCTTCGTTACTGAGCAGTAATAACGTTCATTCTGCCCATTTCGATCGGCTTATTTCATCAAAATTTCTTCATCGAATCCTATTAAAACATCCTATTAAAACATCGAATCCTTCATCGAATCCTATTTCTGGACTGTGTATTGGACTAACACATCGTTTCGTGCGTTCCTCTTCGTTGTATTCTAAAGAGACTTATACTAACGAATAGTGCTGTTTCGAAGTCCAGATCAGTGACCTACCCGCGCTGTTAGAAGGAACTAGAAACTGGGCCAGAAGGACGTACAGATATTGCACGCATCTTGTAATTGCATCTACCCTACAACGCCGGAGACCTGATAAGGGTCTAAACTATATGTTTATTCCTGTGAGGATAAAAGCCGAGCATTATCCATGTTATTACTGCGCAGTAACGTAGAAATTATTGGATTTAGATGTCTAGTCCGCTAAGCTCATAACTCTCTGATTTAATCAGTAACGTGAAAAAATTGAGGCTCTGAGAGAGTTGAGTGATCGATCATAGTGGACTGCAGTAACGGCAAACTACCTTTGCCGCAGACCCAGCTAGTGCACCATATGTAAAATCGAAATTTACTCAATTTTTCTAAATTCGAAACTGATTGGATTTAATAATTTTATTGTTTTTACAGTTCTTCGGAGGCAAGCTGAAGGTGGTATTTTTGTGCATAGTGTAATCTTCATAGGTCATAGAGGGACTGGTTTTTTACTGGTAGAATCGGATCATCTATTCCTGCTTATGAGTGACGCTAACTGCATTTGAAGCCTGCCAGTTTAACTTTTTATTAGACAAAAACAAAGTGAAGGATGTCGTTGCGAGAAAGTAAGATTGGATGGCAAAGCATGTTTCTCGCTTGCTGAGAACCGGTGAACGTCGTGCATTAGTGAGCAGTACCCGCAGGAAAGTAAACAACTGCCAGAGCTAGTCTCGAACAAGTGGCGCATATGCATGGAATAGGCGGTGGTTATCAAATGGAGGCATGTGAATCGTTGAATCGATGGGCCTGATATAGGTACATCAGCCAAGAACAGCACTCGCATCCACACCGATTGTCCAAGCGGCCTTGGTTCTCTTGGTTACAGACCAAAAATATCGTACATTTGTATATCACATCCGAAAATGCTGTTGGCATTAAAACTAACGAAATTAAAGGAATCTAAATTGTATCAAAGGGAACTCATTAGTGTGCACATACAATTCATGTTTTGCAAGTCTGCGCAGGATGCTGATCCTTGCAAATTACGGAAAATCGCCCAGTTCTTAGTGCGGGCGAACTAATAAACGAGAGTTAGGGAGGTGATTATTCGGGTAAATTAGTCATACCGGCAACAGACACATTGATGCCACTGAGGAGCACCTATAAAATTTACGCGCAGAATTTATTCAAACACAATGAATCGTTATAATTATCACCCAGCGCCATCATCACAATCGTTGTCATAATCAACATCATCATCGTCGTTGTCATCGCTCAGCTCTATGCATAACAACAGAAACAGTTTTGATCATCGCATACTGATCATAATCAGTTATTTCATTATGCTATCAAACTGCCAGTTTTGCGAAATGAATTAACTTCACATTCCCAATTTAAATTTACAAGAAAATTGGTTGAACGAAATGAGCCATGTCCTAGTGAATCCGGAAATTAATTGAGATATACCAACAGATGAAACCTCCTAACTGCTGAAATCTTGTCCTGGCAAGAAAACTGCTGAACTGATAATCTGTTCAAGAGACAGAACAAATGACTGAATCACTAGCAGGCGATGCAACATGGTCAAGGCAGATGCGAATGTTGATAATTGTACCGTTGGATTAACCACGAACTGCGGCTAAACAAAGTACCGAAGTATCGAGTATGTCGGAGGTTACAAAGGGATAGTACATCGGGGACTGCATAAATGTCAATACATCCAATGCTTTTGAAAGATCAGGTGATGCAGACATCAGTTTTCTTTGGCGAACTGAGTCGAAGCTGATCGGCTTAGCATTTTGTTCTTCTCTACCCAGTCTACAGTAAAGTTTAGGACAGGCATAATATCAGCACTAAGAAGGCCCGAGAATGAATCAGCGAATGGAATCAGACGGTTGGTACTAACTAGAGATATGCAGTTTGGGACTAAAAGTGCTGACATAGTAGTGCGCGCGTGTGGGAGCACCACAATAACATCAGTAACATGGAATACACACCTGTCGAT